TGAATGTGATCCTAAAGACCTTAATTGGCTACTTCAGGTGTGTTTGATTAGGGTTTGAGATGAACTGTGCAGGACAGTCGATCGCCAGGAGCAGGATTGGGCACCCCTGGCATAGGTCCTAGGGTCAGCTGTGTGCCAGCGTGTCTGTGCCTTCAGCCTGGTTTGTGTCTGTATTGGAACAGATTGGTGCAATGGTCAGATTGAGTGTGCCGCGGCGCAATGCCCATCTTGGGACTTGGCTGTGTAGCCAGTGCTGCAGCGGTCTCAAATGCACCAATCCAAGTGGTGTGACTGCAACTGCTGATGTCTCTGTGTTCACACACCAGATCTCAAAAGTGAGCTAGAATGAGCCAATCGTTAAGACAGTTTGGAATCCGAATACCCACTTCCCTTAGTGGGGCAAGGGCAGCCTCCACGACTTTGATATATACGTGGGGAGACAGGGGCAGCCCAAAGGGAAGGACCTTGTATGCTGCTGAACCTGGGGGGACGCCTGGTGAACTGAATCGTGTAGCCGAGTTTGATTGTCCGAGTGAGCCAGCCGGACTGGGAAGCGCTAGCCAGGCGTAGGGTCGCGAAGTTGAGGCAGTGAGTGTGGTGTGACACTTACCTGGTGGCCTGAGGGACGGGTTGTGACGGGATCGCCTTCCTGTGGGAAGCTCAACAATGTATTGCTTCTGGCCACGCCAGAGCAGGTGTAGAATCCATCGGGGAACACCCTCGGTGACAAGCAGACTAAGGGCCAGCTCGCCATGGCTTCATACCAGGGTCACGATAATTTAGCAGCCAGGGTCATTGTCGTCTTACAGGCCTTTGACGTGGATCGCAACTGCACGCAATCGCAATTACCTGGGTAATCTCCATGTACCCCCTAGGTGGACCCACCATCAAGGGTAGTGTCTGATCCTCCTCATGCACTACCATGAAGAAAAGCACAGGTGCCGAACGCGTCTGCACCCCGAAACCAATCATCTAACTGCGAATGCTCAGGACAGGGTGGAGGGTTCCACTCGATTCCAATTTCCGCGGCAGCCCGGGCAAGGAGCTCTGAATCTGAAAAATCCATGAGAAATCAACCCCGAAGGTGGAAGCTCAGCCTCATCCTCCTCTCCAGAGGACAATTGGCACTCTCCGATGCAGACTCTTTTAGGGGAAATGAAAGCTTTAGCATAAGTTCTGCCAGGAAGACTTAATTACCGCGTCACGTGTTACCTTCAGGTTATCCAATCACGTTCTTATTCTTGTGGTATAAAAGATCGGTACTTACACATGTTTGAGTTCGCAGATGCCGACGCGACAACAACCTCCACCCTCCCCACCACCACCAGGATGGTCCTGTCTACACTTCCCTGGGGGGTCGGCTGCGCCCCTGCCTTCGTCTTGAGGCAGGAAATGCTGATCGGCTACCCTCGGATTACGATCTATGGACGGGGCCTACGCCAAAGAACTTTGAAAATAATTGCTTGCTGGGCTGTCAATAAATGGATGCTTTGTTACATCATTTTATCTCCCGAGTCTTCCTGGTAGAACTGCTCTTTATGTTGATGTGCCCACGGGGAATCGCTACACTTTTCAGTGCAAACCGCTGAAGAATGCTTCCTTGTGGTGACAGGAAGAGTAGAATAACTACTCGGCTCCGAAGCAAAAATCGGAATAAGAGAATGTGTGCCATCTCATATACCAGCCAGGTCTCATCCCAAGGCGTCATATACCAGCCCGTTCTCAGCCTTTAGCGTCACATAGAACGCTATATGACAAAACAGCGCTATACTACGCACATGGCACCCTTTATCGTTAATATTCACGCGAACCCAAGGCGTCATAAATCCTTTCGCGTAATATGAGACTACCCTACCCTACCCCACACCTAAACCTAACCATCACAGCGCGTGTTATATTAACGATAACGGGTGCCATGTGCGTAGTATAGTGCCGTTTAAGGTCGTACTAAAGGATGAGAATGCGTTGCATATACCGGCGCTTTTGACATTTCGTATACATCCAACGTACATGGCACCCTTTAGCGTCAATATGAGATGCAGATATATATGAGCCAGAAGGTGCCTCCTAGTGGTCTAACCCTAACCCTACCCCAGACCTAAAACTACTCATAACTGAACAAAGCTCTGTGAGTGTTATATTGATCCTAAAGGGTGCCATGTGCGTTCGATTTAGACGAAATGTCAAAAACGTCACTATATGTCGCCCTGGGATGAGAATGCGTTACATATACCCATATATACGCGGCAGTGGCTTGGCATGCATATTCCATTCGCTAACTCCATTGGCCGTTTTGCTAAAACTCAGAGGCTCCCAAGTGAGACCCCATTTGTCAGTCTTCAACATAATGTCAGATGTGATCTGACAGATAGGGATGAAGAGATTTTGATGCCGATAATTTATGATTCGGTGATTTTCAGTTATTCCTACACAATACTGTCAAACCACTCCAGAATTGCAATATCAGCATATGGGTTTTGATTTATATGAGGTGAGTAAATACAGTAAATGACAGGAGCATCATTATTTTGTGAATTACCCATATAAATCTCTGAGTATAACATTTCAAAACTACAGAAATAATAGGGATATGAATGTGTACAGTGGTAATAGGGATAGGAATGTGTACATTTCAAAATGTATTCATTGTCAAAAACAATCCTGTTGCAGAACTCCCAAGAAGAATTGTAAGATTCAAAGTAGTTGTTGTAAATTCTCACATTTAGAACAACATTCTATTAATGTGCAAAGTAAATTTGTCTTAAAGGTGAAGTATGTAATTTCTATGGCACTAGTGGTACCAAACAGGGGTGTGTTTCCCGAAAGCATCGTTAGCCAACTATGGTCGCAAGTTCTGTCATTACCAATAGAGTTCAATGGAAATTGCGACCAACTTGCGACTATAGTTGGCTAACGATGCTTTCGGGAAACACATCCCAGGTTTCCCAAACACTCCTACGACCCCTTGTGCACTCTCCAGTGCTGTCCATCTACAAATTGTTTTTTTCTGGTTCTGCTTAATACAGTTTAAAATTAAAGTAACATTGAAAAACAAAATACATTCTCCACCTTAAATTTAGAGCACTGAAGTGAAGTTTTGTGTGCCAACCCGGAAGTTTGCATCTTACAAATGTTGTTCAAGATAATATTCACAAATGAACACAACTTTTAGGAATTTCGAAGCCTAAATAACAATCGGCAGAAGTAAAAAGCTTAACGTAGGCCATAATCAAACCACACTACAGTCGCAAGACTTTAACGTTACCACCATTAAGCTTCCAACAACTCTTCCAATCTTAAAAATTGGAAAGTTTGAGTTAGAAAAGTTTGCAAGAGAGTGATTATAAATGAGGCTGTAAAAGTGGACTAGTGAAGTCGACATCACACTGTTTGGCGTGATGATATTTAATTACCCCGACAACCTCTATAGTCCCATTCCTCTTCCTATCAACCACCATTTTTAAGACACAAAAAAAGCTTTAAAAAGCACAAGTGGGGTATAAGATATATGATTTATGTCATAGAATAAAATGTTAAAATATATTGAGCTTGTGTTAACCACAAACCTTATTTCAGGCCTTTAGAACCCATTAAAAAAACCTATTGAATTAAGGACGATGGAATGGGGAATGAAAAAAATTGCAACTCATTTTCAGGTTTTAGGACTCATTTCTGCAGCACTCTATCCCTATGACATTCTCAGATTTGTGATAAAAGAACAATATTTTTCTGTTTTTGCTCAGGCTTTGTTCCAAACCCTAGTGAGCTGATTACACAGACATTTACAGATACACTAGATCAGTCACTAAGTTTCTATTTCATTTAGGATGCTGCTTTAGAAAGTAGCTGCTCATGTAGGCGAGACAAGTAGATGCTTATGTAGACAAGCTAGGCAGCTCATTAGTTTATGAACAGCGCCTAAGTGTAATAGCTAAAATATTGTTTCTGACTAGTAGGCGGTTTTCCAATCATGGTCCTACAGCTTGACTTCTCAGAAATAACACCCCTACGAGTGTACAAAGTGTCAAAAGTGAACATCATTAAGGGAAGTTCACAGTTTTCGTTGTCAGGTCCAAACATTCGGCTTTTAGAGAAAAAATGAGCTAGTTGAACGTGATTTGGCAATTCAAGTATAGGACGATTAAGATATGACATATACTGTATCAAATAGAAAGCAGCTACAGTGTGTGATATTGTTGATTTTGAAGTGCTGTATAGGCACAATGATACAGATCAAATTCAAATAAAATAATGTCACGTGCCACTGTTCAAAAAATATGAATAAAGATCATTAATAGAGTCATTTTACTGTTCTCACACACAATCAAAACCCTTCAAAAATGTAATTCTGTCACTATTTGAAAGAATTTGAAGCAACCATGAAATCTGGGTAGTCTGGACTAGATGTATATTTGAGCTTGTTAGTGCTTATTCCATGAAAATATTGCACTAACAATATAATTCACACATCATATGGACTACTTTTCTTGTGTTTTTTGAGAATACGGTCATTGAATGGAAAAGAGCTCAAAATTTAAAAATATTAATAAAAATAAATTCCCAGAGAGCCACACATTTAAATACAACATAATGGTGGGTATATAATGATCGAATTTAAATTTGTGGGTGACCTATTCAATTCAAATGTGTTCTCATTGAATTCTCACATGAATTATATTTGAGATATCTGAATATACAGTATATATATTCCTTATAAAAAGGCATTGCACAAGCCCAAACATTCCAGTAATTTCCACCACAGATAAACCTAACTCATTCTCTAAAACATTCTGTCGGTGTATTCATTGAAAAATAACTCTTGTTAAAATTCTCATAATCATAGTAAAGTAAAAAATAGAATGCACTTAAACATAAAGCTTTCCCTTTAGTTTCTATTGCAATACCAAGAAAAAAAACATACATTAAACATTATATAATGTCGGTATATTATAGTTTTGTCCTATAAAACAAGGGTCTCTGAACCTTTAAGCAAGGCCATCTACTGCATAACAAATAATTTATTCAAGTTATAAATATTAACTACTGTAAATAAAAAAGACAAACGTCAAATTGCAATCCTTAATTCTTTGTTGTGATATATTTCGATTGACATTCCATGAAAGTCTAAGGCCGGTGGCTGAAATCAGACATAATATTACAGACCTCCACAAATGAAGTCCCACGTTTGTCCTAGCGTCTGTGCAACACCAGTAAAGAATACAGTGATACAAACACCATCTGACAGAAAAACAGATAAAAACCTCAAGACTTCATGGTGCAAATGGGCACTACAATGACCAGTATCACAGTGCAGGCGGCCGCAGCGATCAGTGCGCCAATTTTACACGCCTTTGCCCTGCGAAACTCCGCCTCCTTGCGCTTAAGCAGCGAGTCGTAGCCTGGCGTGTAGATGTCCTCCATCCAGTACTCCAGATTGTTGGGGTTGAGTGAATCCTGGACCTGCAGGGAAACAGAAAAGGTGAGAGGTTCTGCAAAAGAAAGCGTTTGTGTGGAGCAGACCGTGATTGTACCAGGTCTCGGCTGTGAAATGAAGACTGTGGAAGATGAATGGAGCTCTTGTCCACTCGTCACACTAACTGCAGACAGATTCCTGAAGCAACATATTCTGCCGAGATGGAATTTTTCATCAAATTGACATTTTAATTGAATATATGGTGAGCAAGTGAAGGGGAAATGAGAAAGAGGAAAGGGTGACATGGCATACGGTTCAGGATGAGATGTTCAGGTATGACAGCAAAGGAAAATAGGAGCAGTCAGACAAAAATAGCTGAAAGGGGGAAAAAAACAACAACAACAACAAATTTTTCTGAAGATAACATGAGTGTTGCTTGTCTGTGTAACTCATGTCCCAAAATGATGCTAGGGTGTTTTGGGTGTCTGTCATTACGTTACAACAGTATGTTGTTGCTAAGCTCTGATTCGATTTTAGCATGTTATTTGCTATGGTGTTCTGTTAAGTTGCTGGGTTGTAGCAAGGTTGTATGCCATCAAGAGTTCAACTGAAGTAGTAAACAGGATGCAGAATTGCAATTCAAATTTGACTAACAAAAAGTCACATTAAAACAATGTTTGTTTAAAAAAAAAGAGAAAAAAGAAATATAGGTTTCAAAGTTTTAATAGACAGCTAGATAGAATAATCGACAGACGATAGACTGACAGACAGCTAGATAGAATAATTGACAGACGATTGTCAGTCAGACAGACAGCTAGATAGAATAACCAATAAACGATAGACAGACAGACAGCTAGATAGACTAATCGACAAACACAGCTAGATGGAATCATCGAAAGATGATAGACAGACAGTTAGAATAATCGACAGACAGCTAGATAGAATAATCGACAAACACAGCTAGATAGAATAATTGAAAGATGATAGACAGACAGTTAGAATAAGCGACAGACAGACAGCTAGATAGAATAATCGACAAACACAGCTAGATGGAATAATCGAAAGATGATAGACAGCTAGATAGAATAATCAACAGACGATAGAAAGACAGACAGCTAGATAGAATAATCGACAGACAGACAGCTAGATAGAATAATCGACAGACAGACAGCTAGATAGAATAATCGACAGACAGACAGCTAGATAGAATAATCAACAGACAATCGACAGACAGACAGCTAGATAGATTAATGACAGACGATAGACAGACAACTAGATAGAAAAATCGATAGACAGCTAGATAGAATAATCGACAGACGATAGACAGACAGACAGCTAGATAGAATAACCGACAGACAGACAGCTAGATAGAATAATCGACAGACAGACAGACAGCTAGATAGAATAATCGACAGACAGACAGCTAGATAGAATAACCGACAGACAGACAGCTAGATAGAATAATCGACAGACAGACAGCTAGATAGAATAATCAACAGACAATCGACAGACAGAGAGCTAGATAGAATAATCGACAGACAGACAGCTAGATAGAATAATCAACAGACAATCGACAGACAGACAGCTAGATAGATTAATGACAGACGATAGACAGACAGCTAGATAGAAAAATCGATAGACAGCTAGATAGAATAATCGACAGACGATAGACAGACAGACAGCTAGATAGAATAACCGACAGACAGACAGCTAGATAGAATAATCGACAGACGGTAGACAGACAGACAGCTAGATAGAATAATCGACAGACAGACAGCTAGATAGAATAATCGACAGACGGTAGACAGACAGACAGCTAGATAGAATAATCGACAGACAGACAGCTAGATAGAATAATCGACAGACGGTAGACAGACAGACAGCTAGATAGAATAATCGACAGACAGACAGCTAGATAGAATAATCAACAGACAGACAGCTAGATAGAATAATCAACAGACAATCGACAGACAGAGAGCTAGATAGAATAATCGACAGACAGACAGCTAGATAGAATAATCGACAGACAGACAGACAGCTAGATAGAATAATCAACAGACAATCGACAGACAGAGAGCTAGATAGAATAATCGACAGACAGACAGCTAGATAGAATAATCAACAGACAATCGACAGACAGACAGCTAGATAGATTAATGACAGACGATAGACAGACAGCTAGATAGAAAAATCGATAGACAGCTAGATAGAATAATCGACAGACAGACAGCTAGATAGAATAATCGACAGACGGTAGACAGACAGACAGCTAGATAGAATAATCGACAGACAGACAGCTAGATAGAATAATCGACAGACGGTAGACAGACAGACAGACAGCTAGATAGAATAATCGACAGACAGACAGCTAGATAGAATAATCGACAGACAGACAGCTAGATAGAATAATCGACAGACGGTAGACAGACAGACAGCTAGATAGAATAATCGACAGACAGACAGCTAGATAGAATAATCAACAGACAGACAGCTAGATAGAATAATCGACAGACGATAAACAGACAGACAGATAGATAGACAGACAGATAAAGTAAAGGTACAGTAAATATACATAATATTATTTAAATTATCATTTTAATAATAAATAAATAAATATCTGTAATATCAACTATTACATACAGATTAGTCTAATCAACCTGGCATTATAAGACATCCATCTAATGTCAAGAGTACATGATCTTCCACTGCTGTGACGATGATGCCATCTTCAATACCCCTAATAACTGTACTCCAGGGAACCTTTGCACCCAAAGTGTGTTCAGTGTTGTAATTTTTCACGTGTGGATTGCTTCTGAATATCAGATTTCATTAATTTCAGCAATGACAAGCAGCAGGACACTGTCGCTGATGACACTTTCCTCACTACACTGAGCAAATAAAACTTCACCCAGGTATTAGCCGTTTCTGTCTCCAATACGCAGAGTAATCTTATATCAATACCAACTGAAGAGTTCAGATGCAAAAGCCTCCAAGTGCCATTTGAAATTTTCTTCTAGAATGATCATTTTTATCAAGCTTGTATATTTAAGTTCAGTGATTTCACTTAAATGGCAATGATAATTACCTATTAATTGTTATTTAAGTGAAATTACTGAACTTAAATATACAAGTTTGATAAAAATCATCATTAAAGAAGAAAATTTCAAATGGCATTTAGAGGCTTTTGCATCTGAACTCTTCAACTGTAAACGAGAAAGATAATCCGATTTTCTCTTGTGAAATAAGAACGATTTCATAGTGAAGGGAAGTACCAATCATGTGTGTTTTGAAACATGTGTTTTTTTGTTTCTTATAGTCGACTGCTAATGTGCAATTGCTACCTGATCATTTACTAAAAAGCATTTCAGTTCCATTTTTGATATTAAAACATTACAGGCAGAAAAAGTCTCATTAAAATATAATGATACAGAGAGAATAAATTCAAGGCTCAACATTAAAACTATTAAATATTAATGATAAACGTTAATCAAGTTAACATTGTCTCTTTTGTCGAAACACAATCAGTGATCTAGAGACTAATTACACCATAAGCTGGCTTGTAAAGTTCCAGAGAATAAACACTAATGTTAGTTTGGAAATAGTGCCTTTTTGGAGATGAATGCCCAACAGTACATAACTCTCCTGTGAGAAACATATGATTAATTGTCTTATAAATCTCCCTCTCAGTAATTGCTATGACAACAGAATTTCTACTTTAAGTCACCTAATGGACCGTTCACAGGACGCATTCTTGTGTTTAGTCTGCAAATTTTTATTGGGCTTCCCATACAGCTCATAAATAAATTAAGAAGAAACAAAGAAGGGTGACAATTGGTTCGACTGCCAAGTCCGAACCTGAGTTTCATAGACCCCCCTTTCCCCTATAGAGTTTATTTGCAGTCATATCAGTAGCAAATCATAAAAGAATTCACATTAACCATTCTGCAGACTATTCTCGAGTGCTCACTCGAGTTCAGAAAGTCTGCATCAAAAGTGCTAGTGTGAAAGCACCCTAATAGGTAAAATAAATTATTTTAATGTAGGTCAGTTTCAGATCCAGTCTGAAATCAGATGACAAAAATCTATTTGATAAATGTTTTTGTGCATGCAACAATATAAAATATACAGCAAACATTGCACAAAAAAAAAAAAAAACAGAGAAAAAAAGTTTAAATAACATCAGGTGAGAAGAATCAACAGAAAAAAGTAGGGCAGATTGAAAATGTAAATCATTGCAAATCAATTTAATCACCTCATGATATAGTTTTTTGTACAATTGCATCCATGCTGCATTATCAAACCAAAAAACTCTTTGCTTTGTCAAGGTTTGAATGTGCTGTGATGGGTCAATAAAAATCACTGGTACGTAACATTGCTTGAGCTGTGTTGTGTCTTTTTGACATGTTCTGTCTGTTTTCTGCTCCACTCATGCTGTGGTTGGGTAAGCGGGCCATCAGAAAACCTACAACTCTTGCAAATGGGCAAAAAGAGAGAGACACCACCCCTGGTTCTAGCCAGTTGTCTATGCACTGGGGTGAGCATGTAACACGGATTTGATGCAAAGACATAGGGCACATTCACATCCTGCTGTGCTGAAGACATTGCACAAGCCTCTGAAGAAGTCAGAAATGTACTTTTCTGTTCCATCTTTTTTATTTTGTTCTCATACACACAGAACAAGAACAGCTAGTTTTAAAGCCATCATTTGCTTTTATCCATTCAAAATCAATATCAAGCTTGAGAGAGTCAATAAAACAGAGCATATATTATGGTATTGTATGAAAGAAGCTTGCTTTTCTCCTACACTAAAGCCTTTTTATTGTGAGCCCTCCTCTATCAATAGAATGTGATTATGTCTGGAGATGAAGACAGAATAACACCGTCTCTTACAAACAACCATAAGCCTTAATGTAAAACAATTGACCCTTTTTACTTTCTTAATCCATTCCTTTCTTAATCCATCCAACTAAAATTACAAAGCCACTTATTTCAACTTTCAAATGAACCTCATTGGTTTTTGCAGAAGCTCAAACGTGCTGCGCAACCCGAAAAGGTTTCTATAGGGGTACCACAAGGTTCTATTCTTGGGCCGATACTCTTTTCTGTTTACATTAACGATGTTGCCCTAGCTGTAGGAGATTATAAGATACATGTATATGCAGATGACACCATTCTTTACACCTCTGGCCCAACTATAAACATCATTGTACACCTCATTGTAGCCTCTACATACTCATTGGCTGGCCCTCCCTTCACATTCGAAGTCAAACACACTGGTTTCTCCTCATTTACAAAATTCTCTTAGGCAAAACCTCTACCTATTTAAGAAATTTAAGTTCTGTAGCTTCTCCATCTCGCAATTTGCGTTCAAGTAGGTTTATGTCATTAAATACCACCAAAGTTCGTACTTCCTTTGGCAGACTTTTCAGTTTTCGGCAGTAAACAATTGGAAGGAATTGCAAAAATCTAGAATCTTTTGTCCCGGTATAAAGATTGATTTCCAACTTCCTGTCACACCATCGTTCTTGTTAGCGTCAGCATTCTTCCTTGGTGCAAGCTAATGCATTACTTTTATCGTCTTCTAATTTATTTATTCTATTCCTGTATTGTATTATATTGATGCCATAATAGGCTACTTTCCTAGGTATTGTATCTGGAATTATGTTATAGACTGGATTTTTGATTGTATAACTGATCGTATCCTTGATTCATTGTTTTGTCCTTTATGGGTAACTTCTTGTTGTCTGCACCTTGACGCTTTATCTTGGCCAGGTCAACGTTTTTAATGAGAATGAGAATCCTCTATGACTATGTGCCTACCTGGTTAAATAAAGGTTAAATAAAATGATAATGAAAAAATGAAAAAAAAAATGGAAAAAAAAAGAAATAATGAAAAAAAAAGTAATGAAAAAAATAAATAAACCACGTTGGTTCTTGCACTTCAAGTTATCAAGCTTGAGCTTCTATTTACCACAACTGACGTGTGAATTGATGAATGTTTATATGGGAACAAAAGCCTAGATTCAATCTGTACATCATATAAAAAGTGATCACGTTGCTTCAGAAAATTTTGCACTAAACCACTCAATTCATACGGATTAGTTTTACTATCACTTTATGAACTTTTTTTCAAAGAGCAAATGGAGGGACAGAAAGCTCTCAAATGTCATCAAAAATATAGAACTAAATAGAACTAAAGTCTTAAGGGTTTGGAACAACATGAGTAAATTTTGTGGGTAAACTATCCCTTTAATAAAATATATTTATTGTAATTTCTTGTCATTTTGTTGCAGCCACGAATTCGCTCATCAAAAATATTTTTTGAATATGAATAATTGAATCTCCATTATTCACCATTGTTTGTTCGTTTGTTTTAATCAAATAAATAAAATACTTTTTTCAGTATCAATCATAAACATCAAATTGTTAGGTTTGTTAAGAGATTGTCTAAGTTGTATAAACTCAACCGATTCATTGAAATAATTCAAATCAAAAGAATGACTTGTTCACAAATCAGATACCACTACTTTTTTTTTTACAATGCAATCAAGTCAAGTAATTGCATTGTGTCCCTGACTCTCAACAGTGAGTGATTTAAATAAGGATCATTAATATTTCACAGCGCACAAGGTCACCCACTGCACTGATGACCTTAAGACACACACCGGCGGCATTTGGCAGAGAAGCATTGATTGAGGAAAAATCGAAGCCTCCATTCCCATGCGCCTCAGCTAATCCCACAGATCGCCACACACACAGCACACATCAAAGCCTCAAAAAACAGTGAAAAATCAACAATATTGGCACAGTTGCAATCACAATGCAAAGCCCCCGAGGTCGGTCGGCTCTCACCTGCAGGTCCAAGGCGCTGAGCTTGTTCTTGTCTCCTGAGTTGCGTTTGTACTCTTCAATGGTCCAGGAGGGCTGAGAACGTTTGGCATCGGCGAGGCCGGTCAGGCGTAGGTCCGTATAGAGAGGACTGCCCTTCACGTGAGACTTGACCGCGGGAGGGAAGTGGTGTGGGCTGAACACCTGCTCCACCAGGTAGGAGTCCTTGGGCGGCTTTGAGGAGCGGTGGGCCTGGTGGGCGTCATACTGTCGATCTGTCTGTAGGGGAGAAATGGGAGGAAAGGTCACGGAGGAGGAATATTTTGTCTTGTATTCCAGTACAAATATCTAAACATTCCAGACATATCAAGATATATTTAACTTGAGAAGCAATACGACTTAAGATTTTAAATCTAAAATACATCACAACTTTTCTTAAAACAAGACAAAAATATCTGCCAACAAGGTAAGATCAAATAATCTTGTTTTCCCTTTCAATTAATTTTATTTTTCTGTCCCCATTGGGAGATATTTTTTCTTGTTTTAAGCTTAAACTCACACCAACTATTTGTGCTGCAAAAAGAAATGAAACCAGAAATCATAAAACTGGTTGAGAAGAGGTGTGATATTGCTTTTCAGAGCAGTTGGGACCATTTTCGCCTGGAAAATCATTACTTTGAAGAAAGGAGCTGAGTCTAGAGACCACAATCATTGAGATTTTGGGGCCACCTATAACTGCATAGCAACATTCTAACAACTTATTAGGACACCTTAGAAACCGCTCAGCAAGGCAGACACTATAAACACATTAAGTTATTGAAACCCTGCATCAGCTATAACTCTCAAGAAAAAAAGCATGCTGGCACTGCATGAGTCTAACTACGGTGCAAGCGGGAATCATCGTGCTTACAGGAATGACTGCAGTCTTGTTTGCAGAGCTGGAAATGTCTTTTTGTCTCTGTCTTTGGACTATTATAAAGAATTATATCTGAGTCAGGAGCTTATTCTTGTCCGGAGGGAAGCCAAATTGCTGCAGCTCACAACATGAAACATTTGATTATCGTGAACTGGGTCATTCTGCAAAATGGGGACCAGTAGTGTGTGTAAAAAAACAAATAAAAAACTTTGATAATAACCTGCTGATGCAGCGTTTAATAATATACACAAGTACATTTTTCAAGTGATAGTCAACATAAATAGTAACTTTTTGTTTTCTTTTTAAGCTATTTTTTCATAAAAATGTTGTTTAACGGCCTCTCCACATTCCTTGTTTTATTAATAAACATAGAAACACCTGGTTTCCTAATATTTTCCCATTATAAAGTAATGAACAATCCCATATAGTAAAGTAAAAAAAAGACATATAATATTATAATGACATTGCCATCCTTTCAAAAAGTAAATGTCAACTTTTACCATTAACTTATAATTGAAAAGGGGATATATATAGAAATTTAAATTTTACTTAAATATTTAAATATTGAAATTTAAGTATTACATTTTGGAGCTAAACAATTATGTGTTTATGTGTTGAACAAATTAAATACGTCTTTTAAAATAAAAGTCTTGACTCAAAGTTCCGTTTTGTTGTTGGTGTTTCAATGGCTAACTCCGCGACCCACTTTTGGGTTGCTACCCACCAGTTGGTCTAGATATTTCAATATAATTGCAGCATTTCTATTTTGCCCTGTCATTTTTGTTTCCGTCTCAGTACTTTTTTAAAAAAAAGAAAAACACCCACCCACTTAAATGTTCTTCTCTTTTAGGCAAGGTATTGTTCTGTCTGGCCTGAGCTAAGGTGAAAATTAAAAAAGCCACAGGAGTGAGCTCTGAAGAGTGTTGATCCACCTCCTGCTTCCTGCAGGGAAAGACTGATCAAACAACCACCGATGCAAATGAGGGAAGGCCAACTGAGAGGAGGAAAAATATTGTCTTTCTGATATTCATAGGTATAGGTTATTCCTCGCCAAGAAAACAGCAGCAGTGAAATAATACGTACTGTAGGTCAGACTCAATGTCATATACAGAGGGACTGTGACTCACTGAATATCATAAGGATTCTGTATTTATTTCTCCTTACTGTCATATAACCATTAAACTTGCAAGTTATAAAGCAATGTATCATGGCATTGCAATAAATTAAAAATCTTTACTGCTGTTGTAAATTCATTAAGTGAAATCTCACTGAGACACAATCATTAGTGTTGTTGCTAAGCAAGAATCTTTATTACAATTGCCTACTTGGGGTTAGTGATTTGAACAATTCCCTAAATAACTATGAAACTGTGGCACATTCCGTAACCAATGAAAAAGACATGCATGATCCCTCATATCATGTGGCATGTTTGGGAAAGGTGCTCAGCTACTTTCTTATACTTTTTCTCCAGTCAACAACCACCTAATAACTTAAAATAAACGCTACATAAATTAAAACTGAGATAAAATAGTAAATTAAAGCAAAACAGAAGTATTAAAAACAAAGAAAAAACATAATTAAATTACACAAAAATAAAAATAAAAAATGAAAAATATAAATATAAATCTGGATAAAAACAAAAATAAATAGAAGGACCTTTTAAATATTACTTAATAATATAATTCTATAAAAATAATACCTAAAATAACACTGTGCTAAACCAATCAGAAAGTCTTATTGGCAAGCAATTCTCAACATCTTGGCAACCACAACAATGCTGGGTTGTTTTAACCCATCTTTGGGTCAAATATGAACAAACTCAGCCATTGGGTTAAATGTTTAAATGACATTTTAAACCCAACATTTGGGTTTGTCCATATTTGACCCAAATTTGGGTTAAACCAACCCAGAGTGTAGTACTTTTTTAGAGTGTAGTATTGTGCTTTTGAGATTTGCACAGGAAAGCCAGCTCACATTTGTAAAATATAATCTTTCATTTTGTCATCTAACCCCATCAGCCTATTCAGGGCACTTCTCTTTCGTATAGGTTATTCTTTATCCGGCACAGTTTTAAGTTGAATGGACACACAGACATTATTAAAACCTCATTAGACATAGCCTTCAAATGAAGCGACTAAAAGCATTGGTTGTTTATATTCTGCAAGCCAAATAATTTAAGTGTGCTTCTAGCTTGACCACTACTGACATGAGCTTATCGCTTGGCTAGCTGGCACTTTTGTTTGGGCTAGAAGAAAAAAGGTTTGCATTGCCCTTTATCAAGGGCACTATGTGAGAAGGAACGGATGTTGTGCTAAGTGCCTGTCTGAAAATGACAGTTCTCTCGTATCTTCTCACCCACTACAGAGCAGCTGGGTTCGTTGGCTACGGCTTCTCTTATAAAGAAGTTATGCAAAAAGACTGGCGTAGCAACTTCATGTCAGTTAAAGACAGGATGATGTAGACAGAAAGAAAATAAAAGAGGATGACGGGATGCACTATGAGACTCTCATTAACCCAGAAAAACATTTACCAAAACATTCACAGCTGAATAGATGTTTGGCAGGCAAGCTGTTTCTTGGAACCACGTTGACAGCCGTGGTTTGAATACATTAAAGCATTGCTTTTAAATGAAAGATTTAAAGACAAAATTGTACACTGAAAAAGTAAGAACACCCAGTTGTTACCTTCAATGTGAAGTGTGTAGTCTTGTTGCACTAGTGTCATTAAAACAGAACACACATAGCTCCGTCTCAAACACACACCATTGTTCATTGAGTCAGTGTTGCTGTCAGGCTGTCCAGGAAGCTCTAACTAAGAGATACAGTACATGTTTGATTATGTCACAGAACACAAAGCTGTTTCCACTTTTCATGAGAATAAACATAAACAGCTTATTTCTTGGTCAACTCTTTATATTAAAGACATACAAAGAAAAAATAATTGAATAAATTACACATTTCACATTGAAATAAAGGAGAACTCAAAAGGCAGAAGGGCCACAGAATAGTGAAATGCAAAAGATTGTTATGTTTTCTCATTAACGTGAATGAGATTTAATTAACCACCAGTTCCCTGTGCGACCATTCACTAAAATTAACTACAGCTTGGATCGTTCCAAAGAGGCAGGGACTTTTGGCACTCACGAGTTCCCCAAAAAGATCAGAAGGGACGATACAGGAACTGGCAGGCTTTTAACCAGGGCAATAAGCCAAGAAGAAATGAGTGAGAGGCAGAGGAGCAAAACTAAGAAAACATGAAAATATTCCCAAGACTAAATAAGGGTAAGTGTTTCAAGAGAAGAGAAGAGAAGAGAAGAGAAGAGAAGAGAAGAGAAGAGAAGAGAAGAGAAGAACAATAGAAAATAATACAATACAATATAGACAAGATATAAACAAAAACAACACAGAATAGAATAGAATAGAAGAAAACTTAATGGAACAGAAAAAGAATGGAATAAATAAGATAAAAAGAACAGAGACAATTATTGTAAAACTACAGAATGGATTAGAATATAATGGAATATAATAGAATAAACACAACAAAACATAGAATAGAGAACAGAATAAAGTAAATATCAAAGAATAGATCAGAACAGAATAAACAGATTAAAAACAGCACTAAAATAACTAAAATGTAATAATAACTATAACATAAAAAATAGAACAAAACAGAACACGATAGAACTAATAATTTACCATGAGAAATAGCACACAAAAAAACCCAGAATAAATAAAGGAAACAAAAATGAAAGACAACCATTCCATAACATGACAAATTGTACATAACATAACATAACATAACTCACTACTGATCAGAGCCGGAACAGTAACAGAGTACGTTTACTTGAGTACAGTACTTAAGTACAGTTTTGAGGGATCTGCACTTTGCTCGAGTATCATTTTTGGGGAGTACTCATGACTTTACTCAAGTAGATTTGAGAGGCAAATACTGTACTCTTTAATCCGCAACATTTCTATCCATATCCGTGAGTAGCCGGTACTACTTCTAAAAAAAATAATAATAATAAAAACCTGATTGGATTGTGCAGGCGCCACTGATTGGTACAACCTATCAGCAATCACCTTCAGCTTTCAGCCAAAGTCAACCCCATGGTCAGAAACCATGGACGAAACGCGGGAATTTCAATCAATCATGAGCAAGGCCGTGGCCCCACCTCGCCAGACTATTTAAATTTTCTGAATTTTCTTAAATGTTAAATAAAGCAACATGGTAAAAAGATTAATTTCAATTCCTTTTACATTCTCCAAGGTATTAGCATTTTTCATAACTCCATGTAGGATGTTTCTGTACATAAATGTAAGCACTGTGGCAGTAGTAATGCAATTTTTTGAAAATGTACTCTTGTACTCTTGCTACTCAAGTAAGCCTACTTTTAAAAGTAAGTACTTTAGTACTTTTACCTAAGTAGACATCTGACTGTAGTACTTTGTATTTGGGAAAACAAGGGGTATGCCTCTGCTACTGATAAACCTGTAAAAACATTGTTTTCCACCTGCATGTGTTCAGGAATGGAAGCTCATACTCTATTATCCACAGAGAGCAGTCCAGACTGCATCCAACTTGGCTACTAAAGACTTCGGCCCTGAAACAGATTTTTTTGCTTGCTTGTTTACCTCAAGTATTTTTACATTCTTAAAGCGGTATACATAGTGAGGTTTTGATACAACTTTTTCATCTTCCTCACAGTATTAATGGAATCCTTGAACTTGTTTACCTTAAGACGTTTCAATTCTTCAGAGTACTGAAGCTTCAGCTCAGATGTGTCAACATATAATCTTGAGAGCAGGTAAATACTTTACAGGAGGACTAATTTGCCATGAAATCCTTGTTCCTCTGAGGGAATTGAATTAAAATTATTAGTCTGATGCTCTATTCAATTGACAGATTAGTACAGACCAAAACTCGACCATTTTTCAGCAGAAATAATCAGCCAAATTTGAAGGAAGGTGAACTTTGAAAAGGTGGACTTTCATCTTTGCATTTCTTTCTCTTGCTATAGCTATGACATTTGATTTTCTTTTGAAGTAAATAACTTTTGTAAATAACCATAATAAATTAGTTAAACTGATTTGATTTATTAATTTTATTTCTTTTATTTCCTAATTAATGTTTTTTTATAGGCAATAATATATAGACCTTGTTGTTTTCAGGTTCATAATAATAATATGTTGTTTCAATAAGTTTTCAATAAACGTTTAACCTGTCTGGCCCTTGACTTACAGCAATTTTTTGATCTCGGCCCACTGTGTGTTTGAGTTTGACACCCCTGCTCTATTGTGTCCTGCATGCAGTTTGTGCTGCTGCAAAAAAATACAGCTACAGTAGATGTAGGAAAGAATGGGGAAATTGTGAGATAATTGCACCGCAAGAGACTACGACTGTACTGTTAGAGATATGATATTAAAGCTAGCTTGCTTCCAGAACAAAATGTCTGCATGTATTTTGGGAAATGATGGAGTGTAATTGAGTACAACTACCTAGGGGTGTAAACCAAGGCAAAATCATGCAAGGGTGTAGAAACGGTCTGACAACCTTATCTGTCTGGCTCATTAATATTAATTAGTCGACGTAACATTCTTCCAGGAGTCATGACTGATTTGTATAAAATCAGGTAAATGGGTACCTCCTGGGATCCTGGCTTACAGAATTCAATTGACTCAATCCCAAAGCTGGTTACAATTTTTTTTTGTCTTTGCACAATAACCAAGCTCTTAAAACATAATGACTAATTCTAAATGATTAACAGTTGCAGTCTCAGTAATCAACAAATATAATGGTAGATTTAATAAAATATGTCACTCAGCAGATTATGACAGACTTAAGAGTAGTTCACTTTTAAAAAAGACTTTTGCTGATAATTTACTCACCCCCATGTCATCCAAGATATCCATGTCTTTCTTTCTTCAGTCGAAAATAAATTAAGGTTTTTGATGAAAACATTCCAGGATTTTTCTCCATATAATGGACTTTACTGGTAACCAAACGGTTCAAGGTCCAAAGGACAGTTTCAGTGCAAACTGTTCAAAGGGCATTAAACAATTCCAGATGATGAATAAGGGTCTTATCAAGCGAAACAAGTTTTATAAGCTCAAATGGTCGCCAATAACACGAAAAAAGATTCGTTCATTTTGATCAACCAGTTCGAACAGGAGAGTTACGAACGTGCATTACAGAACAGAGCAAGGCGACCATTTGAGCTTATAAAACTTAAACTTTTTTTTTTTTTTTTTTTAAATGAGCGATCATTTCACCTGATAAGACCCTTATTCATCATCTGGAATCGTTTAAAGCCCTTTGAACAGTTTGCACTGAAACTGTCTTTTGGACCTTGAACCGTTGGTTACCAGTAAAGTGCATTATATGGAGAAAAATATAAGTGTTTGAAAAATGGAGAAAATGTGTTTTCATTAAAAACCTTAATTTCTCTTCAACTGAAGAAAGAAAGACATGGACATCTTGGATGACATGGGGGTGAGTAAATTACCAGCAAAAGTTTTTTCCTTTAACCTTACACAATTTAGTTTTTGCAATAGTGGGCATCAAACCCTGATTTTCCCATTAGAACAGAGTATGGACTGATCTGCATCTCAGCGCCTCACAAATTTGCATTTGAACTCAAGTAATTTTAAGGCACTACACACAATACTTTCCAAAGCACCTTCTTCAGAAAATCAACATGTTTTCAAAAAGCACAAGCAATGCAGTAACAGTTCTGAGCTCATTTCAATTCAAGTCAACATGAGCAAGCGAGTCATCTCAGTAGATTCAATGATGAAGTGAGTTGTCTGAGCAATTCTGATTTAGACTGATGACTCTCAAGATCTCATTAATCTGTTTTGCATATCAGTTTGACAAAGTGATTAAAAAAAGATTCAGCGGGCCAACACAATAGCAATGCAACATGGAATCTGGATTACAACACTCACAACAGCAAATTCAACACAGTAAAGAACACATTTTTAAGTAATCGGGTTTATTACCTCTCTTGGTTTCCTATGTCTGTCCTTGCCTTCACAATGCCGGTCTCTTTCTTTCCCTTCATCCCCTGTGTGACTGGAGTAAGACACAGTCCTCCAGTCTCGAGGTGAGTTGGTGATGCTGGCCACTTTGGACTCAGTGACACTGTTCTCCTCAGTTTGCGACCTGGACGACCTGTGTGTGAATACACTTTTCTTTAAAGCTTTTACCCTCATGCTTTCGCTCCCATCATCCTCCGGGCAGCACCATTCTGGACTTTTTTCCACCTTCATGTTGTGCCCAGTGGTGTGACACTGAAAAACGTGAGGTGAGAGGTTCGCATCAGTCTTAATCTGCTCCACCATACCATTGTCACTTGATTTCCCATTGGCCTCTGGTTCTTGAATCTTCTCATCCAGCTTAGTAAGCTTTGAGAGGACCTGAGATATCTCCCCTCGCACCCCTGAAAGAGACTCAAGCTTCTTCTCAATCTCACCAATCCTGAGTACCAGTTTGCAGACGCTGTCTTTGAGCTCATCATCAGAGTTCTCCAACGACTGGAAGAGACGGTCTAGTTTGATGCTGGTTTTGCCCAGCTTGACAGTGTTGCGTTCAGGTGAGCTATCCCCGTCTGATTTCGTCACCTGAGACAGTGAGCCGTTGCTGTTGTAGCACGAGGACTGCACAACTCCAAGAGAGTCGCACACGCTCATGTCATCCAGGAAGCGAAAGATATCGCTGATATCGTCACTGACAATCTCGGAGTCTTCATCTGAATGTTTAAATGGCGGCCTCTCTCCATATTTGTTGTGACCGGGGTAATCTTTCACTTTCCTAGGATGGGATTGTTCGGTCTGGGTCCCAACACTCATGCCATTGTCTGCATTGCTCGACTGAAACGATGGGCAGATGATGCTCTTGTCCTTGTACCTTTTCCCATACTCTCTTTTCTCAACACTCGGTCCGCAAGCCACAGAAGCCATGTCTTTTGTTTTGGTTCCATTTGACTTCTTGGAGAAACCTGAGGGAGAGGCAGTGGGCTTGTCTTTTGTACACTGAAAGTGTTGGTCATTTTCCATGTTATGGCGATGATTGTCCTTTGCCACTTTGCCGTTCAAAAAGGACCTCTCAAAGTCAGGGACTTCTTCGGTATTGAGGCTCAAGCTCTTGACAGGCCAGGCTGGCTGTTTGCCATGCTTGCTAGAAGTCCTCCTACTGCTCACGCATTCAGAAACTGTTGTAGGTCCAAAGTAGGTGGATGCTTGCAAGTCGTCCAGGCTCTCATGCTTCACCCGCCCTTTGTTCTGGATGGGTGCGCTGACCGCTTCAAAGTAAGGGTTGCTGTATGGCAGCTCAAAACTGTGATTGAAGAAAGTGGGAGGCTTGTTCAGCTCCCTCCTGTGGTGGTAATCACCACCAGCTTTGGAATTCGATCTGGACTCCTTGGTGATCACGTGGGGTGAAAAGGCAACAAGGTTGTGGAAATCCTCTTTGAAGATATTCCGCTTTTGCACGCATGAGTGCACGGTAAAAGGCTCTCTGCTGGACACGAATGTATCCTTGATCCCTGGGTTGATATGAAGAGATTCCTGGTCCGTTGTAGACTCGCTGTCGATGTCCATGGGGAAGTAAGTGCTCTGCATCTCGCACGGAGGAGGACTGACGCTGGCGTACTGTGGCAGATGCTGTAGTTTATCCAGAGATGCTGCCCTACATTTCAGATCCTTGTTGACTCCCAAGAGGAAGTTGGGGTCTGAGGTTGGTATGAACTGCTGGCAGTTGTTGCAGTCAGACTTCGGGCAGGGTGATTTACGTGAAATGTGATGACCCCTGGTGTCCAAGAGGTTGTACGCCCTGTCATTGTCGTTGAATTTATACACATCCGAGTCAGATCGACAGGACTCAAATGATTGGTTCTTGTGAAACCTGGGTCTGGAACCCATTGGCAGCTTGTCCTTGGCCATTCCTCCATTCATCTGGATGAGATTGAACATGGTGACAATGTCCGCGGCTACCATGAGCTTCTTGGACTGTTGGTCCTCTACCGAGCACCTCATTTTGTCTTTGAATAATGTTGCGGGGAATGCTGGATCCAAACATGCTGTGTAGAATAGCAAACTCCTCAGCTTAGCCAAATGGACCAAGTCAAACCTGGCACACAAGGACTTACAAAGGTCTTGGTAAGAAACGGTACTGTATTTGGTATCCAATTCCTCCAAAATCCTCACAAGAAAGAGGGAATACTCTGGCATGGCATCCATTGCTGTTTTTATTCTTGATTTTGTGAAGACAGGACAGCCTGCAGGGGACAGATGAATGATTAGTGACTGAAGAAATGTGAGCCATCTGCCAAACTACCATAAGAATCAAATCAGGATATGGACCATAATCATCACATAGTCAGAATTCTGATTGATCAATAAAGGGATTTCAATGACCAATTATCAAACTTTTACAGTACGTAAAAAAGTCTGAGACCACATTCAAATTATAGGACTCAAAAGTTTTGGAATTTTGAAAAATTATTATGAAATAAGATTCAACACAATTTCAAGTTAACTAATCAAATATGTACATTTGTGAAAAAAATATGCAACTCCCTTATGCAAAAGATTAGATTTCCATGCTTCAATTAAAAGACAAATTACCAGAATTACCATTGTACAGTCTATTGCCAGTTCATCATGTCATTTAAACAATTCTGAAAAAATAAAAGATATATATAGTATTCATATTGAGATTCACAGACTAGACACTTTGGTAAAATTTGCAAATTTGTGCACAGTTTTTGTTATTGTTGAGATCTGTTTTGAAACTCAGAAGACCCATGTGAGATGATAGATTACTTTTCACAGGAGAACATTTTAAAAATTTTAAAGCTAATCTCAATTTGCTCTCCATTCGACCTCATTGCTGTCGAATAAACAACTGAGCTATGAAAGAAATCACATTTTACTGACCTATGGATTTGTGCCCCACTGTTTATTTGGTCCCCCCAGTCTTGAATATAAAAGAAAAGAAACACGCAATTTATATTCAATGACAGACTTATAAATAAGCTGAACTACTGAATTAAATTCATTATCTAGTGCATAAAGAAACTATTGTTTTACACATTCAAGTATGCAGTTTCAGTTGCATAATAGGACTGTAAATCAATTTGCAGTGCAAGTATGCATGCGTAAAACACCCTCCTCCAAGCCTCGTTAAAAAATCGATGGTAAAAAAATGAACATTCACAAACACAATCACAAGACTATGCTGAAAGAGCGGGATTTAAAATCATCCCATCACATTTTGAAAATAAAATATTTAAGATCCATAATAAATTACCAAGAAGAATAAAACAACACACACCTATTCAACGGTCCCATCTGCTGTCCTCTGGGTCGACTGTGGGGGGGAAAAAAACTGGCCAGGAATGTTTTAACTCAGAAGTGCATTATTAATCCACAGGCATTTCTTTGCAGTTGCACGGCACATCTTCAGCATCATATATCCCCGCGTCCTCCTGACCATTGGGAATGCTATGGAATGGCTTCTCTTCATCTGTATCCTATCCGGATTGCAGGGAGAGTTTGGCGAGGGAGCTGCTCTCTCCATCTGATGGAGCTCAGAGAGCTCAACTCGTCTTTGTTTCCACCTAGAATGACGTAATTTCACCTTAAGACCATTCGCGAGCGCGTGGAGACAGGTTGGGGTTCGACAATGAGAATTAAATCACATTGTTGCATTTAATAGAACACGCAGCGTGACGCGTCAATATCTCGGCCATGCGGGAAACGCGTCGGGCAGATCGCATGCACTGCATTCATTTAACGCTACTCTCTGCGCTCTTCTGATAGACACATGCATGTTCAATTCGCGGTGATGGCTGAGGACGCATATATGTTTAAATGAAAAAGAAAACTACTGTAAAGAAGTTGAGAAGCGCATCCTCGGTGGATCGCACAGCCAGATAAAATAGGGGAGAACGCGGGGCTACAGTAGTTGGGTCCGTGTACGTCTATACAAGATGCCACTGTGGAAATCTGGCAACAAATAGACTTAAAACAACGTAAACAGCATGCATGCATCCGTAAATAGACCTGGCACACAAGAACTTACAAACAAACAAACAAATTAATAATAATAATAATAATAATACAGATCTAAATTCTTTAGACTCAATAAAATAAACTAATTGGTAAACCCATTTATATTATTTAAAAAACAAGAAAACGGTAAAGTACAAATACATTTCCTTAGGGATGCATAATATATCAATAAATGGAAAATATTGGTAGAAGACTGTGAATTCAAAAAATAAATGTAAATGCATGTGCATAATTATATAAATACATTAAAATTATTGGTAGAACCATTTATATAGGCTATATGAAAAACAAATTATAGAAAACTAAATGAATTTACTTGATACGCATAATATATCAAAAAAATTAATTATTGGTAGAACCGATATTAAAAACAATTGATTAGGTGAAAAACGTATGTGTAAAAAATATATGTACTTAAAGGATTTGCATTAAAGGCCTACATATAAATTACAATCATTTCTACATATCTAAATTCTGAATTTATGTATTACCATACTGATCTTGCCTATGGCTTTTCTGTGGTAGTTGCTGTGGTGCTTACTATTTTATAATAAAACATACCACAGTTTGATCCATAGTAACCATTGGCATTTGGCCATAAAAATAGACAACTTAGCTGGTAAATTAGAGTGGTGTGTCACTAAGACAACATGAATTCAGAAACACCAGATGCTATGCATAGCATGCATAACATATTCTGATAATAGCATTAATATGGTAATCCTGCCTGGGCTGAAATATTATCATTAGATTGTTTACACTTGCATGAACCTTCAGAGAACTCTGGCCTTTCGTTTATGTTTGCACCACTAACATCAATGTCAGACGCGACTCTTACCATCTTGTGAAGTCAATATCATTGCTCCTGACAAATCAATATTGTATTACTGCATGTTCACTCAGCATTGCTCTACAATCTTGTTAGAATTCGGCTGGTGTGGCTTAGGATTTTGCCGACTGCCCCAAATGTGGGGGACTTCGGAGAGTCAAATCACTAAAAATGGCAGTAATCAGAAGGGTATTGCGCTATGATATCCCTTCATTGTGTAATGTGATGGTTAATATGAATTACATGTTTTAGACCTCTGCAGTCAGCAGATGAGAGGAGAGAGAAGAAATACAATTCAAAAATAAATAGCCTATGACAGTGGTTCTCAACTGCTTTGGTTCAGGTAAATGAAAACATTGAAATAGCCCATATCCCCTGTAGCCCAAGACCAGGTAACTAGTACCTGGATGGGAGACCTTCTGGGAAAACCAGGTTGCTGCTGGAATAGGTGTTAGTGAGGCCAGCAGGGGGCGCTCACCCTGTGGTCTGTGTTGGTCATAACGCCCCAGTAGAGTGATGGAGGCACTATACTGTCAAAGAGCACCATCCTTAGGATGAGACGTTAAACCGAGGTCCTGACTCTCTGTGGTCACAAAAAAATAATAATAATAATAATAAAAAACATTTTTCGCAAATTTGCCTATTGCATGCTTCATATTAAAATATTCCATGAAATTAATTAAATAACTGAGATCACTTTACTTTGAAGGACATACACAAGTACTGCTTTCATGTGGAGTGAATGTTTGAAAGTGGAAACTGGCCTTCTGAAGAACAGCTCAACTCCAACAACCCGGGAAAGTCTCGGAACAATATTCTTAATTTTCCAGCTGACTAAACAGCCTTAAAAGAGGCCAGACTCAACGCATGTTACCTGATTCAAGGGGTAGCCTATTAAAGTGTCAGAAGAACAAGTATAATTGGATCTTTTCAATATCAGGGACAGTAGGGGCTGCCTTGTTCTTATCGGACGGGAATCCACATTGCATAACTACGCTTACAGATGAATGGACAACACACTCTGGGATTATTATTCCTTAAAGTAGAACTCTGGCGCAAAATGAACCCTTGGTCTAATTACATATTGGTACCTAGTCGACCGTTTCCTGAGATTTGTTTTCATGATAATCGAATGTATGCTAGTATATGGGGGCATATAAAGAGAAATCGCTAATATCACTAACAAGGCTAGAACCACGAACGCCGTTCATACAGTTCTGCTCACTTGGCATGTCGTTTGTGGATCGACTCCTCGTGACTGTTTTCCAAAGATGGCTACTGCCTGTATACATGAAGTGCACTGTCTTTATAAAATATCTTTTTATTAAACGGTCTGGACATTTACAAAGTTCTGCACGTAATGACCCTCATTATGTTACTGTGTTAGTGTAGGGCTATTTTGAGCCTTGTTAGTGGTATTAACTAGCGAATTCTTTTTACTTATTATATGCCCCCATATACTAGTGTATACGCTAAACAGTTCTAGAAATAAAACTCTTTACATTCGATTATCATGAAAACAAATCTCAGAGAACGGTTAACTAGATACCAATGTTTTATTAGACCAAAGGTTCATTTTGCATCAGAGTTCTCCTCTGTTCCAAATCACTGGCTTCTAAGGGAGCATCTGAGATGATATCTCATAAGCAACTGATTTGTAGCAAAGCCTAGACAGCAACAAATTTCCCTTGCAACTCTCACTATTTATGAATCTGACATTGTTGAAGTATTTATATTCTATATATGAAACATATTAAATGTAGTGGTTTCATTTTTCATTTTCAGTTTTATAAAATGCAGCCAGAACATTTTCGTCAGCAAATTTTGCGTGAAAAATAAATAAATAAACAAACAAACAAACAAACAAACAAACAAACAAACAAACAAACAAACAAACAAACAAACAAACAAACAAACAAACAAACAAACAAACAAACAAACAAACAAACAAACAAACAAACAAACAAACAAACAAACAAACACACACACACACACACACACACACACACACACACACACACACACACACACACACACACACACACACACACACACACATACATACATACATACATACATACATACATACATACATACATACATAATAATCTGGGTTTTTTTTTTCCTATAGAGTCAAGTTTTTTGGCTTTTACCCTGAATGTTATGCGCTAGTGTGCTTCAAAACAATGACAAAATTCACATTTAGAAGATATAAGCATTCAAAACATATAGTCTCTCACTTCTGCTAATATGGATAAATGATTTTGATGACATCACTCTGCACTTCTCATCAGATTTTCTGTCCAATCAAATGCTCTCGATATAATCTAAAGCTTTCCGGCCACTATACACAATAAATAGACGCTGAAGCTGTGACTGAAATCGGTCAAAATTTGTTCAAACATTTACTAATTATGGTGAATGGCACACAGTGCACTATTCCGAGCTCGGAGCCCTCCCCCCGGGCAGCACGCCAAATACGCATTAAACTTTACTCCCTTTAATTGTATGCAAGTGGGAACTCGTGAAATAGGGAATAGGGAACGATTCAGACCGTGTAAATATGCTTTCCATTGGGGTGAATGAAGTCTGCTTTCACATTAGTGTCACGCGAACACCCGCAGCGCACACACATTCTGATCCGGTCCAGAGACATGACAGCACAGAGCGGATCATATGCATTAAAGAATCAGACCCATTTCAATTCTGCACAGAATTGTATAGACGAATCCGGCGAAACTACCGGAAGTAAGCGGGGCGCCATTACTGAGCTGTTGCTGGGTAGCGTTGCGCCATTGCCTCCTATTGTTTTAGTTGCAACTTACGTCCACTGGAATAAACAGCCCGCGATTTACGACTGTCACTAACGTTACAACGTTATCCCTTGTATAATGTCGAGTGGGTAAACAGTTTCCGTTATAAATTGTTTCAATGGTGGCAGTAAAATTTCAATTTTCAAGAGAAAACACTGTGAATACCCCGGGTCGACTGCCCCTGTCTGGTGCCGTACGGTTTACAGATTTCCTGGGCGAGTACAAGACGTGGACATTCGCGTATAATAACAATTATTTAATGACATGAGTAAAAAAAATATAATAAATATGTGATATAGTGATCAGCAAAATCTCCTCTCTTGCTGTTTTTTCTATTCAATTAACATGCTATGGTCATTAAATGGCTTTCCTGAGCTAAATGTAACGTTATGTGACATAATTGTTTTCCTGCTGTTATATTGACCTCTTTCCATGGTTTAAAAACACTAATTGTTCGATATTATGTATACTTTCTAGCTGTAACGTTACCTTACCCTTGCCTGTTGCAATGTGAAAATGAGATAAATAATGGACACAAATGAAAAACATGAATTTGTTTATTTGATTTAATTCATTTATTTATTTATTGTTGCCAAATGGACAGATCTTTTCATAGTTTCCTCGTTAGCAAACGTTAGCCTAGCTAGCTTGCCAAGCTATTTTCATAAATAACGTTAATCTGTAAGATCGTTTGTACCTTCATCTGTGACTGGAGGCCACTGCAGTCACAGATCAAACCAACAAGTCATTCTGCCTGGCTGTAGCTGTCATCGACGGTGAGTTCGCGTTATGACCGAGGTTTGTTTACATACCGGTGCATATGTCTATATGCCTGTGTAACAGCTCAGTAATGGCGTCGCCACAAGATGGCAGCCTACACAGAACGCTCGTCGGATTCGTCTATAATTTAAAGCGATAATGGAGGAGATTAGGAGGAGAAACGGTTTGAGATTAGGAGAAAACTGAGCTGTGGTATAAATTAAACTCTATTGGCTATTTTAAAAAGGGGGAGGAGCTGTTTGAATATGTCCCGCCCCGTCTTCCTGTTTCAGTGGAAAAACGCATTGAATAAAGGCACTTCAGTGGGACTTTAAAGTCGGCATGAAACTTTATTGTGAACAATACCTGAGGGAAATTGCTTCTCAAATGAGAAAAAAAAAACGAATGGCACACTGTAAAAAACAGTGCAGTCTCAT